CCCGAGAGAGGGAAGAAGGGGTGAGGTTGGGGTGTGCTGCGAGGTGGGGGGAGCGGAGCACGGGGGTCACCTCGGGCCCCCCCTGCCAACGCCCTGGCGGTGCCGGTCGGGGGTCTCCAGCCTCCGAGGAAAGCAGGGATGCTCCTTCCTCTTCCCTCCCCTCGGCTGCCCTGCCCAGGTTGTAATATCTGCAGGATACCAGCTTTTTTTTTTTAATGTACATCGTTTCCAATGCCCAGTGGTAGCGTCAGCACCTTCAGACACCAGCTTCATTGACTGGTGTGTTTGTTGCTAGTTTAATCCTGTTCTTTGATGTCTTCAGGCTCTTTGCCCCAGAAGTCAGGGTCTACATTGCCAACGTCATTTTTTTCTCACAGACCTCGACTATCCAACTCCATTGGCAGTGAATGCCAGGGTATTTGGATGGTTTTCGAGCATTAGCGACTGCATCATCACAAAACCCTCCTTGGGTGTTTGGTAATGCCATCATCCATAGTGTTCAAATCGGGAAACTCCAGCCCGGAATGTGGAGGTGTCCAGCTCCAGCGAAAGAGTTAAAGGTCCTGGGGTTCAATCTGTCACCGTTCAGTAACACCGAGAGCTTTATCTGTTTGCCCACGATCACAGACATGATCGGGGAGCAGGAGCTCTCTGTCCTTTGAAAGACGGTGTGATCCCACAGGCGCAGCCTCAGAGATAACACGGGCTCTACCAAAAGAGGAGCAATTTCTTCCCCAAAGCGCAAGTGCAGTTTCCATTAAGTTACGCCGTGGATGTGTCAACTTGCAGAGTTTCTCTGTCTCCGTACACTGGAAATGTTAAGCGGTCTCTTGTACTCCTACGAGTTATGCTGCTTGGCATAAATCCCTTATTTTGTGTAAGCCATTGTTCATTTTTCCCTCTTTAATAATAAGGGGAGAAAAAATAAGATAAAAAAAGAAGCAAGGTTTTAATTCCTGTTTGGGTTCTGTAAGCTAGGAATAATTGTCTACAATCTAGCAGTGTCTTATTTTTAGTAAACCAATTACAATTTCACAGTGAGTCTGTGGTCATTACAGAGTTTGAAATGTCAGAAAATGCAACGGCATTCCCATTTTCTCTAGGTATCCATTTTGTGTGTTGTTGGCTTGCCTTTTCAGGACTCAGAAATACTATACTCACCTTCACACCAAGGCAACGCCAGATACAATGCAGGTGTTGTGCCGATTTAACTACGACTGTATAAAATACTGGTAGTACAACTCTCTAATGTAAACAAGCCCAAAGCGATTACTGCAGGCAAGGCAACAGGAAGAACTGCCCCAGAAACTCTATGCCAAGAGCTCCCGCGTTCCCGGAAGGCCCTCGTGGAAGCACGGCGCGGTAAGCAAACCGTCTGCTTTCATCGCTCTGGCCCCTGAGCCCGCTGAAGGCTCCCTGACCATGAAGCCGAGGAGGGGCTCTGTTTTCAGTCCTTCCCCGAGGGAATGGAGCCAGGCAGCAGCTGCTCAGCCAGTAGGAAACTCTCCGACTGGCATCCATGCTCTAGGGAGATCACGACCATTGCGCTGCCGAGTATGAAGACGGCTGAAGGTGAACGAGGACCGATGGAAGGCATCGGGAGCCACCGCGTTAGCCATCCTTGTGCAGCCACGTGCATTCCTGGGTCCAGCTAAAACGCTCCTGGGTGCCAGCAAGCGTTTTGCTGCTTACGGAGCCTTCCAGAGTTGAACAGAAATCCCAGGTTTAGGGCAGCAACAGCAAAAATCGGGGCTCTTGTTTGCCAAGCAAGGCTAGCCCTGCTCCTGGTTGGTTATGCTGCCTGGACACCAGCCAAAGCCCACAGAAATTAGCAGAAAAACCAACAGGATCAGGTCCATAAAGCCTAAGGACTCGCTTCCATGCTTACCCCTTTGATCCAACAAGAGTATGTATTTACCGAGTGGGGCCTCCAGCCCGCTTTGTTGGCCAGACGCAGAAGCGGTAGCAACAGGTTTTTCATGTGATTTGATTGTTTTCTCTCTCACCGCATAGGGCAGAAGCCTCTTTGTGTTTGTCTCTACATGATTTCAGTGCTTTTATGGTCTTTGTTCTTGTAGGGCATCTTCTTTGTGGTGATCCAGTTGTGTTTCAGAAGGAGAGTCAGGGCCTGAGAATGTTTGACGCTTGGCGAAATTGAAGATACTTTCAGCGCATGGGTCACAGCAACGTTTATTTGCAGAAGTTCTTCCAAACTTTTCCAAAGGTTGCTTTATCCCATGCAGACAGGGATTAGAAGGACCGAGTGCTTCATTCCCTCCCCTGAAACAAGGAAGAGTTTAAGCACAAAGGATGCTTAGCCCCGTGCTGTTAAGAGAAGGAGTTGCCGTTGGCGGCCACGAATCTTCTCCGATCTACTCCAGCACTTACCCTGCGATCAAATCCAAGGTCAGCATCTGGGGGGCTGCTCCATTTGCAGTCAAGTCATAAACGTGGGCATGACCTTCCCGGAGATCTTTTCAAGCACATCATCGAAGACTCAAGGAAGCGTTAACTGGCACTATTGCCATTCCAGACGTTAATCAGAGCACACACCGCAGTCAGTCTCCTGAGCGCTGTGCTTATTGTGAGTCGTATTTGTTTTATGCCTGTCCTGCTGATTTCTCCCTGATAATGAGACCCTGTGTGCACACTGGAGTATTTGTGAGTATATATTGCAGCAGCTAGGGCCTTACATCTCTGCTGTCAAATCATCCTACCAAGTGGATAGGCTCGTAGCGCTCAGCTGCGTACATAAATTCCATATTAACTTGTTGCATTTGCGATCACATGGCTATCAATAAGGATGCACCAACCCAGCGGCCTGCTTTGAGAGCGCAGAGGACTCTGCAGAGGTGCCGCTGGCGCAGGGCACGTTCGATTCCGGAGCGAGAGCTTGCAGCATCCCGGTCCGAACCAGCCAGGCATTAATACCACACCTGGCCTTCAGCTCCCATGCTGGCGGCTGGGAGACAGCATCC